GTGGGATTAGTTTAATTTGGGATTATGGTTGGCATGGACTGATTGGAACAAAGGGTCTGTTTCTGTGCTGTCTGACTCTATGGCTCTATCAAAGTCTAGATGTATGAGTGAAGATGTATGTTTATTCACTGTGGATGTTCTGACATACAGACCTTTGTGGGAATTGCCTGGAAAGTTTTCAAAATCTGATGATAATTCCCCCCATCTCTGAGACCCTCCTGAGCTACAGTCGCAGATCAGATCAACTGTTCTACTTACCTAGATAGTTACTCAGGAAATGTGAGACAGCTTTAATCTGAGTCTAACATCTGTTTAACAACACAGCTGACCCCCTCCCTCAGTCAACGTCACCCATCCCCAACTTCCCCCTGATTTGTCCACCCTCCAAACCTAACCTGACTTGACTGCTCTCCTGAGCACCCAACAAAATTCCAACCAGAAGAGCCCTCATGGCAAGCTGACCTGATTTCTCTCTCAACCACTGACAACCCTCCCAACGTGACCCACGTCCTGAACTGCCACCCAGTTTTGCATGATCTATCATTCTCATTTAGCCACCCTTTGCCCACTTCAGCTATTTATTTACTCACTCATTCACCCATCCACTCATTCATTCACAAAATTTCAAAGGCTGATCACGTACACTTACTTTGCTGTGGTTAGTACCATAAAAAAAAACTCCAATCTGCTCCAAAAGATTTTCTCAAGGGATGCTGCACACCACATTTTGGTGAAACCTGGAATTGGATGACCCTGGTGGAACCTGGAGTTGTATTGGTTTGGGTCATTTTACAAATACGGGAGCAATCTATTGGGCAATATCTCCAATATATGCCTCAAACATTAGGAAGAATCTCAATGAGAGGATAAAGATTTACAAAATCACTGTAATTCCACTGATTCTAACAGATTTACTCATGGACACTCTACCCAATAGTTGATCCATGAGCGACTGTTCCTGACATAAGGAACAGGGTGGAATTTTTCTGTATCCTACAGAAATGACTACATGAAATTACATTTTGTGAAATTAACTATTTATGGCACCACCAAGTGATTGGTCGTCTTGTTGGTAATTGATATATCAATGGGTCAATAGGACAAAAATGAAGCTGCACAGGATAGATTGGAATAAAACACTGATGGGAAAAGATGTAGCCGAACAATGCTATGTTCAACAAAAACAGACATTGCTGTTGAAAGTCAGCATGTCTGGCAGCATCTGTGGAGGGAAAGCAGAGTTAATATTTTGAGTCCAGGTACTCTGAAGGAGGTTCATTGGACTCGAAACATTAACTTTGCTTTCTGTCCATAGTTGCTGCCAGACCTGCCGGGTTTTTCCAGCAATTTCTGATTTTCTTTCAGAACTTCAGCATCTGCAGTTCTTTGTTTTATTTTGCTACCTTTAATACAGGGCTACATTCAAGGAGAAGAATATCTGGCTGGTATATCCTTTAGGAGTCCTAAAGCTGAGATAGATACTACAGAAACACACATTTTTCAAATCCAACAATTTTAAGAATAAAAAAGTCATTGTTGCTAAGTTTGTAGCATCCAGAGCCAATGGCTTGTAACAGCAATATTCTGTTGGCAGTAGATTCACAATTAAGCGGACATTAGTAAGCATCTTTTTGGGGGTTTCTTTGCCTCCTATATTCAACTGCACAGTGTGATTAAAAATGTGTCTGATTTATATACATATATGTTTACAACAGAAAATAATTTTTTACAGTTTGGATTTCAAACTAGTGTCATATGGCTGTTGTTTACTTTTGTGAAGAGTTTAAAGAAAACAAAGTAAGAGACTCCTTCTGGAACTGTAACCTAATTTACTATGTGTCAGAGAATACGTGACTGCAAAACTTCAGGGGTGTTAATAAAAGATTCTTGATATTGTAAAGTTTATGGCAGAGAGTATAAACATCGAATGCATTTGCTTCATTTTGGTTTACAGAATCACAGAATTGCTGTGGCACAGAAGAAAGCCATTTGGTCCATTATTCCTGCATTGGCTGTTCAAATGAGCATCACTGCCTAGTGCCAATCTCCCTTATTTCCATACCCTTGCCAAAATATTTCTATCCAAGTATTCATCCAATGTCCTCTTGAGTGCTTCAATTGAACCTCACTCCACCACCCTCCAGGCTTTGCTTTCTATATGCTAACTACACACAATGTGAAAATGTCTTTTCTCACATTAAGCCTGCTTCTTTTGCAGATAACTTTAAATCAATGGTCTCTTATCCTTGCCACTTATACCATTAGGAACATTTCTGCCTATCTGCTCTATCCCACCCATTCTTGATTTTAGAAACCTCTTTCAATTATCCTTTCTTCCTGCTTCTCTCTATGGCATTCAGTCCCAATTTCTTCAAGCTAGCCTCATAGTTGATGTTTTTTATTCCCGGAAACATTCCCCTAAACTGCTTCTGTACTCTCTCCAATGCTTTCACATCTTTCTTATAGTATAGTACTTACGACTGTTCACAATACTTAAGCTAAAGTCGAACATGTGCCTTATAAATGTTCGACATCACCTGCTTGGTCTTGTACTCAAAGCCCATGTTAATAAAGCAGAGGGCACTTATGCTTTATTAACTGCTCTCTTTACCTGTCCTGCAACTTTCAATGATCTGTGCACATATGGACCTCAGTCCCCCACTCCTGTACTCCCTTTTAGAATTCTACCTTCTAATTTACAATGTATTTCAATATTCTTCTGACCAAAATGCATCATTTCACACTTTTCTGCACTGTACCCCATCTGCCACCTATCCACCTATTCCATCAACTTATTAATGTCTTTTTGGAGTTTCACACTGTTCTACTCACAGCTTACAATGCTTCCAAGTTTTGTGTCATTTACAAATTTTTGAAATTGTCCTCTGCACACCAAGATCCAGATCATTAATGTACATCAGGAAAAGCAAGGATCCCAATAGCAATCGCTGCAGAACTCCATAACAAGCCTTCCTCCAGCTTGAAATGTGTTCATTGACTATTATTCTCAGTTTCCTATCGCTCAGCCAATTTTGTTTCTACATTGCTACTGACCCTTTACTATATCAACAGCCCTGCCCTCAAAAAGCCTTTCTTTTGCCTCTTCAAAAAACTCCAGCAAATTAGAGAATCACAGTTTCCACTGTAGAAATCTATGCTGCCTCTTCCTAATCAACCCATCCGATTTCCTTGCGACTGCCAATTCTATCCTGAATAATTGTTTCTAGAAGCTTCCTCGAAGTTAAACTGTCTAGTATACATTTGCTGGGATATTTCTTAAAATCTTTTTTGAACAAGACCAAAACATTTGCAATTCTCCAGTCTTCTAAGACTTGCCTCAAGTCCAGGTAAGACTCAAAGTTTATGGCCAGTGCTCACACAATTTCCATCCTCACTTCCTTCAAAATCCTTGGATGTATCTCATCCTGTCCTGGTACCTTGTCAGCTTTAATTGGCAATAACGTATCAAAAGGAGTGAAACCCCCTGAGCAGGGTCAAAGACTCAGGAGGCAGGCAGGATTCAGACATGTGGCAGTCTTTATTCAAGCAATCATCAGTTCATGCAGGGAGAAGACCAGAGATTTTCCCACATCTGGCCTCAACATGAGAACCCAGTCATTCTCTTAATCCTTGGCTCAGATTGGAAGAGAGATCAATGACACGGTCTGGTTTTTACAGTGAAATACAATATTTTTACACAGTTTGTGCTACAATAATTACGTACAACATGGTTGCTGTGCCCTTCCTCTTATTCTACACCTCCAATTGTGTGAAACAACTAATCAATGATGGACAGTCCTGTGGACAGGCCCAGGTTCCCATGATCTCATGATGCTTAACAGGCATTGTAATCTCCAGGCATGATGAGTTAGGCTGACTGTTTTATGGACTGAGATTTATTGTCCTTATGGGACAACATCCCTTCACTAATGAGGCTGGAATCAATCACTTGTCGTAGTTTAATGAACTTGTTTAATCCTTCAGATTTTTATGAGCCACAGTCCCACTAGTTCATCTGTGTTTGGTACAAATATTCAGACTGTCTATCTTTGGGCATTTCTTATCAAGGCTGTCTCTACCAACACTCCTTGCAGCTGTTGTTCATGCAAAGCTCCCTTTTACCTCAGAATAACCCCTTCTCGAAGATACCATTGTTTCACTTAAATGCTCGAATAGGCTTTTAATTCTGTTTTAATCAGTTTGCCTGCCATTTTGCATCTCTCAAATATGGGAAGCTCCAACAGTATCCAAGACTTGTTCCTCATTAAATCTGAATCCTTCCAGTGACAGAGTTTCCTCTCTTTTCACCATGACCTAGGCAGAATCATCCTCTTTTGCAAAGACAGATGCCAAGTAGAACGTTTCATTTAAAATAAGCAAGAATTGATTGGTTTTGAAAGGATTGAAAGCTTTTAAGGCAGTTTTGAAGGAGACCTGACTTAATTCAGAAGAAATTATACTTTCTACCCGAGAGACAAATATAGAACAATTCAAGGAAAGCACACTTACCCTAACGTAAAAGTTTAGTTTGTAAAACATCCAGATTAGGAATGTTTGGTGAGAAATCTGCAGATTATTAAAAGACTGAGAAAGTTTCAGCATTCAGTTATGTTAGCCTTCATGTAAGAGGACTTTTAAGCTCACGGGATAGAACTGGGAAGAAGCAGTTAAGTTGAAATGAAGATTTTATGCAGAAGGATAATTTCTCTGAATTTGAATCATTATAAAGTAATGGTATTAGGTAGTAGATGAGATGTTGTTTTGCTGAGCATTTTAAATTCTTGCAAATTCTGTTTTATATTAGATAACTTGGTTTCTTTTATTTTATTTTTCACTTTTGTGTAATAAATTTCAGTTTTATTGTTAAAGAAAATCTGTGTTTAATTTATTTTTAAATTTTTAAGTTTCAAATTTTTTAAAAAAGCCAGATTTCATTCTTGAACTCACGTGTCCAGTCGTAATATCAGCTATGATCCTAACAGTATCTTCATTGCTTTTAGTGCAGATGGACGGTTTGAAGTTTCCCTGATGACCAAGGCAGTTGTGAAGTACAATGGGACAGTGAGATGGACACCTCCTGCAAGTTACAAAAGCTCTTGTACAATAGACGTCACATTTTTTCCATTCGACAAACAAAACTGTTCAATGAAATTTGGATCCTGGACCTACGATGGAAGCATGGTTGATCTCATATTGGTGGATGAAGATGTGGACCGAAAGGATTTCTTTGATAATGGAGAATGGGAAATCTTAAATGCCACAGGAATGAAAGGAATGAGGAGGGCTGGATATCACTTATATCCATTTATCACATATTCCTTTGTATTGAGGCGTTTGCCCCTATTCTACACATTGTTCCTGATTATCCCCTGCCTTGGTCTATCTCTTTTAACTGTATTGGTTTTCTACTCACCATCAGATGAAGGCGAGAAGCTATCTCTATCCACCTCAGTTCTGGTTTCGCTAACTGTTTTCCTCTTGCTTATTGAAGAAATAATTCCTTCTTCCTCAAGGGTCATCCCATTGATTGGCGAGTACTTGCTCTTTATTATGATCTTTGTCACACTCTCGATCATTGTCACTGTCTTCGTTATAAATGTCCATCATCGATCCTCAAAAACCTACCACCCCATGGCCCCATGGGTCAAAAAACTCTTCCTTCAAACCCTTCCCAAACTATTATGCATGAGGGGCCACACTGATCGCTACCAATGTTCGAAAAGTGAGAATCCGAAGGTGAAGCAAAAAACATTTGATAAACATCAGCATAACACGGGGAAGAATGATGAAAATGCGGCTATGATCGCAATCTTAGAAAAGGCTGCTGAATCGGTGAGATACATCTCAAGCCACATAAAGAAAGAGCATTCTATTCGTGAGGTAAGGGCACAAAGACAACAACACATCCACAAAGTGCACATCAGAGCTTTCCAAAACAAAATGATATTTAGAGAAGCGAACATTGTAGCTTCATTGATGCATTTAATAATTCTGGAATCTAGAATTCAATAACCATAAAGATTTTTTTAAAAATAGCTGTGATCATTCTTTTTTCACTGTAGAATGGCCTTCCAGATATTTCTTTCTCATTCTAGCATTCTAAAGGAATTTCTCTCTTTTTTGTGATATCATAGAAATGGAGTATTTGGGTTTTCAAAAGGCATTTAGTAAGGTACCAAATAAAAGGTGTTTTGCTCTAGACAGGAACTCGTGGTTAACGTAAAGCAAGAGTTGGGAATTGATTAGCACACAAAAGATGCAAAATTGGGATTAACGGTTTTTTTCAGGTTGGAATGACATAAATGGTTGGGTGCTACAAGGCTCTATCCTATGACCTCAATTCTTTACAATCTATATTATTAATTTGGAGGAAGGTCCAGAGTGTAATGTATCCAAATTGCTGAAGATACAAAATAGATGGGAGAGCATGTTGAGATAAGGACATAAGGATATAGATAGGTTAAGTGTGCTGGCAAAAGCTGGCAGATGGATTTTAATATAGGAAAGTGTAATGTAATGAACTTTGGTAGGAAATATCAAAAAACAGACTGTTATTTAACTGGAGAGAGACTCCAAAAAAGTCCATCACAGAGGGATATGGGTATTCTTTATAAGTTTCACAAAAGGTTAGTTTGCAGGTCCAGCAAGTAATTAAAAATGTAAGGAGAGTTTTAGGTTTTATTGCCTGTAGTTTGAAGTTTATAAAAAGTAACTGTTGTTACAACAGTGCAGAGCCTTGGTATGGCTGCACCTAGAGTTCTGTGCACAGTTTTGGACCCTGTAATTACAAAAGGATGTATTGGTATTGGAAGCTGTACAAAAAAGATTCACTAGGCTGATTCCTGGGATGAAGGGGTTGACTTAGCAAAAACAACTAAACAGATTAGGGCTGATCTTATTGAAACTTACAGAATTCTGAGGAGGCTTGACAGGGTAGATGTTGAGAAGATGTTTCCACTAGTGAGGAAGTCTTGAGCCAGAGGACATAGTTACAGAATAAGACATAATTAATAGCAGCAGGAGCAGGAGTAGGCCATTCGGATCCTTGAGCCTTCTCCACCATTCAATAGGATCATGGCTGATCTGCTATTCCTCACATCCACTTTCCTGCAATTTCCCAATAACGCTTGATTCACATACTGATCAATAACCAATCTATCCCAACTTTAAATACGCAAAAGAACTCTGCCCCCACACCTCTCTGTGGAACAGAGTTCTAAAGACTCACAACTCTATGAGACAAGAAAGTCCTCTTTCTGTCAGTCTTAAATTGGCACCCCTTTATTCTGAGACTATGCCCTGTGGTCCTAGACACTCCCATGTGGCAAAACATCCTCTCGGCATTTACCCAATCAAGCCCCTTAACAATCTTATATGTTCCGTGAGATCTCCTCCAGTGAGTAGAATTTCAACCTATTTAACCTTTGCTCATAAGACAATTGTCCATACCAGGGATCATCCTAGTGAATCTTCTCTGAACTGCCGCCAATGGAATAATATCTTTTCTTATAAAGGGGGACCAAAACTACTGAAAGTACCTCCGATGTGGTCTCACCTGCATCATGTACAGTTGCAGTAAGACTTCCCTATTCTTATACCCTGGGGATACTCATTCAAGACTGAGATGGGAAGAAATCACTTCTCCTAGATATTTGTGAATCTTTAGAATTGTTTACCTTAGAGACTTGTACAAGCTAGATCACTGAACATATTGCAAGAGGACATAGATTTTTGAAATATCAGCAAGTTGTCAGCTACTTTGAGTTGGCATGATAATAGAGTTGAGGCCTGGTACAGATCAGCCATGATCTTGTTGAATGGCCAGGCATGTTTGAAGGGCTGAATGGCTTACTCCTGCTCCTATTCCTTATGTTCTTATACTCTAAACACTCCTTTACCAATGTTCATTTAACAGGTGATTGGTTAGAGATGAACTTGAAAGGCTTAGAAGAGTGGTTCCCAACTTTTTCACTCACACAGCACACGATAGTGGGACAAACCATTCAACAGCACACCCACATTTTTTTACATCACCTCAAATTTTTGCCCTTTGGCCATGTGCTTTTAGAATGTTTACATTTTAGAATCAAAGACCAATACTATGCTTTCAACTTGATCATATTTTAACTTTAATTTTATGAGTTGTAATTTTGGGTGGATAGAGTTTTTTTAAGATGAAATATTATTTGTTTTACATTATTTTTCACCACCTTTGTACAAAATTTCACAACAGCTCTCATGGTTTAGCTTGCATTTTTCTATGAGTTTACATTGCTGACTTTGTATTGCCACTCTTCACCACTTCAGCCCTTTACCAGTAGACTATATTCTTTTAATCCATCTCTCTCTATGTAACATTTTCTGTATTTTCATTCTGGTTATCATACATTTCAGCATTTTGAACTTTAACTGTGTGTTGGTGTAATCTTCAGTTCACACTTTGTTGTAATTTGTACTATGCAGGACTCAACTAAAGTTTTAACTATATATCCATTTATACATTAGGCTTTTTCTGTATGTATCATACCATCTCATTATCACTACAATTTTCTTTGCATTTTTCCACCTGTAAATCTCAGGTAAACTCATAACTACTCACTTGCATTATTAAACATTCTTTCTTCCTTTACAGGTTGTGGAAGACTGGAAATTTGTAGCTCAAGTCCTGGATCGGATTTTCTTATGGCTCTTTTTGCTGGCAGCCATTCTAGGATCAGTACTGATGTTTGCTCCAGCACTTCAAATGTGGGCAAGCATTGTAATAATGCCCAGTGCAAACTATCATACATAACCATGAGAGCTGTTGTGAATAGTCAAAATTTGGGAGTCACAGCAAAACAATTTTATTCATACATGATAGAAGTTCCATTAAGCTGTATCAGGTTTCTTTGTGCAATTTGCCCATATGTGTAAAAACAGTGCAAAAGGTTGATGCATTTCAAAGACAAATTATATCGAGAATAAAATTAGTTTCTATGATCTTTCATGCTTTTCTTCTTAAGTCTATTTTCAGCTATTTAAAGAGGACTATTCATAGTCAGTGATTAAAAAATTCTTTTCTTTTGATCAGCTCATTTTCAGCTCTATTTGACAAACTGAAGCAATTTGACATGATTGAACATATAAAAGCATAGGCTTTAATGCAGTCTTTCTGAAATACATTGTGTTCTAAGCAAATAAAAACCAATAGAACTGTAGATGCTGTAAATCAGAGACAAAAATAGAAACTGTTGGAAAAGCTCAGCAGATTTGGCAGCATCTGTGGAGAGAATCAGAGTTAACATTTCGGGTCGAGTGACCCTTGTCAGTTCTGAGGAAGGGTCACACGACCCAAAATGTTAACTATGATTCTGTTGACAGATGCTGCCAGACTTGCTGGGCTTTTCCAGCAATTTCTATTTTTGTATTCTAAGCCACTGTTTAAATCTATTTATTCAAGGCAGATTTTACGTATGGTGATGTGCAAACTATACTGAGCAGAAAATTAAGCAAGACAAACATCTCTGAAAACTATCACAATTTTCACCCCAAAGTCCAAATTATGCTCCAGGTCTAACCACAAAACCAACTGTATATGTTTGACAATAAAATCTCATTTTAAATATTTTTATTGAGTAGTAAAATGTAGAAGTATCAGAATGTGCTGAATTTTGGCACAATACAGCAATGTTTGTTTCATATCACACCTGTTTATCTATCAGCAATGGTCACATTGAACTTTGAAGCTTTTATTTTATTATAAATTATGAAAAAATATCTAGCATGATTATGGGAGTTACGTCACTTCTCGATAACAAGAAAACCGCTTCAATATTCAGCATTTGAGACACATGCTCATATTCTTTATGTGAAGTGTTTGAATATATTTCTGGCTTAAAAGGAACAGAAAGATTTGTAGAACAAATAAATTATATTAAACTGTCTTTGAGACATTATCCATGATTGTTCAACTTGCCTGCAATTTGTTGGATTAAGGAGGCACAATGCCTCAACATGATCACAACTAGGCAGTGATGATAGTCACTTTGTTAAAAAAGAATCAAATCCATTCACCTTCATGATTTCTCAAAGGTAATGTTCATTATGTTATTAGTCTTTTCAATAAATGGAGAAGCAGATGTAGCTCTTGACAATCACAACATTGTTCTTCATGTTTCTCTACTTTCAGAGAATAATGAATTGAGGAACACTAGATCTATTACATTGATTATTGAGCAACTTCACCACTCCTGCATGTGTTATAGTGATCCAGCTACAAACGATTAGTCTGAGTCCAAGTCAGAATTTCACTGTCTCCATATGCAAGTTGAAATTATGTGTTGTAGAGTATGAGCTTTATACTTCACAGCTTCATTCACCTCTCTCAACCTGCGGCCTCCACTATTTGGTATAACATACTTCTGTAAAATAAAGTGTTTTCTTGCTATGAACATACTCTCGCTTGTTTCTTATTTCCACCACGTAAAATAGCAATTATGTTTAACATTATTTATGTTGAAACCGAGATCTTCAGTAGTTTGTTACCAAAATTTGTTTCTACCCACTCTTCCTGTGCTGGTATAGCTATAACAGATCAAATGGTACCCCCCCCTCAGCTGGTCAAATCCTTGCTTCGCTGACTTCACCACTTCTCATGCTGTCCTAATGCACTTAAAAGATTTCAGTCTCCTGTTGCTTCACAGGAGCTCAAAACTTTGGCTCTTTGAAATTTCTAACTTCTCAACCTCTTTCCCAATGGTCTTGGCCATTAAATCTACTTCACACTCTCAACATAAAAGTGGCTTTAATGTTGCATAAGAGATTTTACATACAATTTCAATTAATTCTGAAAAATCATTGGTTTCTCAGATGCTAGAGGTATATAATAGATTTGAGAGATCCTGTGATCATAAAAGGTGTGCAATGGCTTCATTTGTTTTTCCTGTCACCTTTCTCATTTCATATTTTTGTTATTTCATGCATTGCTGTCTGACATTGGACTGTCTTTATAAAAAGAGCTTATATTTAATTCACTGTAAAGCAAAGTATTGCAGATGCTGGAGATCTGAAATAAGTACAGGAAGTGCTGAAGAAACTTTCCAGGTCTGACAGCACCTGTGGAGGGAGAAACAGAGTTGACACTTCAAGCCCAATATGGATTCATGAAGAGTCATTACTGGACTTAAAAACTTACTCTGTTTTTCTCCGCACACATGTTGAGACTTGCTGAGTTTCTCCAGCATTTTCTGCTTATACAGCAAACTTTTTATTCACTGGCATCTATGGGACAAAGAGTGTACCAGTTGATCAAATATTGCGGTTGATCAAGTGGTCCAAATAATCGTTGTAAAAATACACCACTAAGTGATAGGAACGTAATGCAGGGGCTGTACAGATAACTGTTATACTTTATTTACAGCATAAATTGCTTATATAATAATCTTAAGTAAAACTTACCAGCAGAGAACCTTCTCATTTGCACCCTCAATGGATGACTTGGACATTGTGGAGATCACGATAATAGAGTAAATGTCCGATATTTCGGGAATGGTCTTTTTTTTGCCAGTTTATCGAGAGAGCTGGTTCATTAGGTGCCAGATAAAACAAAGTTTGTTCTATTCAAGCTGCTATCTATTGCTGTGGTGTTATTCTAATCTATATATAATAAAGATGCATTGATTAGAATAACATGAGAGAGAGAGAGAGAAATGTTTTACCTCAAAGAACACAATACATCTAAGTGGTGTGTCTGAGATACATCCTCGAAAAATGGTAGAAAATAATATGCCACTGGTTCCAGGTTTCTGACAATAATTAAGACCTTGCCGCATTTAATTTTGAAGTACTTAGCAATAAATCAAAATGTCCTGTGCAAAAGCATTTTCAATGCCCTTCAATGCTTTTAAATATTTAATTCCAGAATTATGAATGTACGATGGTCCAGTGGTATTATCACGAACTATTAATCCAAAAGCTCAGCTAATATTCTGGGAACTGAGTTCGAATCCCACCACAGCAGATGGTGGAATTTGAATTCAATAAATATCTGTAATTAAGAATCTAATGATGACCATGTAAAGTCACCACAATCCTAGAGGACAACAGGGCTGCTCTCTCTCAATATAAAAGAGATCTCTGGTGGTGGATTTAATCTGAGGGTTACCATGCTTCAGGTGAGGGGTGACTTTGAGAAGACAGAACCTTCTTGATAACCTCAGCCTTTGTGGGAATTGAACCCATGCTGTTGGTATCACTTTTCATTGCAAACCTGCCATGGTCAACTGAGCTAACCGAAACCACTGCCAATTGGTGGGAAAAACCCATGTAGATCGCTAATCCCCTTTAGGGAAAGGAATTTTCCGTCCTCACCTGGACTGGCCGACATGTGACTGCAGACACACGGCAATGTGCTTGATACTCAACTGCTCTCTGAAATGGCCTACTAAACCTCTCTTGTATCAAGCGCTATTAATTCTTAAAGAAATGAAATCAGACGGATCATCGAGTATCAACCTAGACACTGGAAATGATCAATGTCAGAAACAGCCCCATCATCCATTTAAAATCCTCCAAATGAACATCTGGGGGTCCCTGCCAAAATTGGGAGAGCTGTCTCAGAAACTAGTCAATATCACAGAATCATACATTACAGACCAAGTCCCAGACACTACCATCACCATCCTTGGATATGTCCTGACCCACCAGCAGGGGAGACCCAACAGAGATGGCACAGTGGTATAGAGTTGGGAGACAGTTGCCCTCGGAGTCCTCAACATTGACGCCAGACTTCATGAAGTCTCATGACACCAAATTAAACATGGGCAAGGAAACCTCCTGCTGATTACCACATATTGTCCTTTCTTGACTGATGAATGAGTTCTCTTCTATGTTGAACAACACTTGGAGAAGCGCCAAGGGTGGCAAGGGCACAGAATGTCATCTGGGTGCGAGATTTCAACATTGCTATCAACAGTGGCTTGGCAGCTGCACCACTGATTGAGCTAGTCAGGTCCTTAAGGATGTAGCTGCTAGGCTGTGTCTGCAGCACATGGTAAAGGAAACCAACAAGTGGAAAAAACATTCTTGATCTCATCCTCACCAACGTGCCAGATGCAGATGCATCTGTCCATGACAATATCACTAAGAGTCGTCACTACACAGTTCTTGTGGAGATGAAGTCCTGCCTTCACATTCAGGATAACCTCCACCATATTGCATGACACTATTACTGTGCTAAATGGGACAGGTGTCAAACAGATGTAGTAGCTCAAGACTGGGCAATCATGAGCTGACGACCATCAACAGCAGCAGAATCTTACTCCAGCACAATCTGCAACCTCATGGCCCTGTATATCCCCCGCTCAACCATTACCATCCAGCCAACTCTGGTTCAATTCAGAGTGTAGGAGGGTATGCCTGGAGCAGCATCAGACATGCTAAAAAATAAAGTGTCAACCTGGTGAAGTGACCAAACAGGGCTACTTGCACGCCAAACAGCATAAGCAGTAAATGATAGACAGAGCTAAGTGATTCCACAACCAACAGATCAGATCTGAGTTCTGCAGTCCTACCACATCCAGTCATGAATGGTGGTGGATAATTAAACAACTCACTAGGTTCTAGGAAGGAAGGCCTATTGTTGACCACCCTGCCCTGCCTCCAATGGATGCTTAAGTGTTCAATTAATGACCACTTAAGAGAGCTCTTTCTGCCTCATATGCAATCTTTTTCCAGCTTTAGGCCAGCCTGTCGTTATGGAGCTTTCATGACTGGTTAAACTATGCAGACTACATGACAGCTGGAGGGGGTGGTGGA